CAGGGGCAGATCGGCCCATGATAATTTGGTTCCTTCCGTATTGCCAGTCGTCGTGTCTTCAATGGTCATTGCCGTCAAGAGTTAAGAGGGATGCGCAGCCGCATGTCACGGCATTCACCAGTCGGCGGTTAGGATGCCGAACTCCAGCCATGAGGCATGACATCATTTTCCTTTCATAGTGTGGCCACTTGGGAGGTACGCCGCTGGTACGCGGTAGGTACGAGTCAGCCACGCGGCCAGCCACGCGACCGGTCCGCGTGTTCCTTTGCGGCTGGAGTGTCATCAAGGGGCGGTTTGGTATGCTTTCGCTTTCCAGTCATGACGGCGGAAGCGAAGAGCGAAGCACGAGTGTCACATGTATGTAATCCATCATTGTGATGAATTGTTCTTGCTCAAATCATGTCCGTTTGGGCTGATTTTTGAGCGGGCATATGGTATAGGTATGTCAAGTCGACCTACCGTTGAATATGTGGTTAAACTATTTTATTTGGTCTGAATAAAATGACTCAATCAGGTCGGTTGGGGGCAGATCAGGCAATATCTATATATGGTAATTTGATGGCGGAAGTTAAGCGATAAAATTTCCCCGCCAAAACGGTGGTTTTATGTGCTTGAATTATGTCCATAGGGCTAGAAATGATAGAGAAACAAATTAATTATCACAAGGTCCAAATTTGTTAAAAATTGTTCTCAACCCTGTGGTGCCAACTTTTCTGAAAACGGCAATAAGATATGACCCTACCACTATTTTGAAAACCCAGGGTTAGGTCAGTAATTTGCATTTTCCGACTCAACCATTGACTTTGAAGCATAGGTCTAAACTGAATAGTAACATGTATTAAGGGTCCCTACAATCTGGTAACATTTATTAGAAAGTTTGTGTAAAGTCATTACAAAGTTGTTATCCCATTCATGCTAATTATATATTTAAATATGTAGCTAGACTGAACTTGTAGGGTCTACCCAGAGGTCAGACCCTTGGGGTTGACTTGAGGGTTAACTTGAGGGTTGACCCTCAAGTTACTGATATACATACAATATCTCTTACAATTTCTCCAATATATATACTGACAGTTTTAATCACAATTTCTGGGATGAATAAATTTGAGATTTCAACAATAATTTCATTGTACTGTAAACCTACAGTTTCAGCAGTGGAGAAATGCAAATAGAAACAAAGAGAATCTATGTGCATTTCTCCACTGCTGATTTCCCTTGTATCATCTGTGCTGAAACTGTGAGTGAAATCCTTTGTTTCACTGTTAGTTTCACCACATTTGATGTGCGTGATATCATGACCAAATATATGTGCCCAGATATCAACCATTTCAGGCATAGTTTCAGTCCCATAGATACTGTAGCATTTTAATCAATTCGGCGGTCACGCGTCACACCGCCGTCAAAACACCGAAATTTTTTCGGCGGTCATATGCAACAGCGACAAACGCCGAATTCACCCGGTAAACTGACCATTTTTGGCTGGCGCGGCCCTGCGGGCCGCGCCGTAATGTGCCGAAAATTTTTTGGCGGTCACACTCGGAGGCCTCGGACGCCGAAAATCTCAATTCGGCGCCGATGTCACACACTTTTTGGGCGCCGAATTGATTAAAATACTACAGTAGTTTTCTCAAATCTCCATAGGTTGATTTGGTTCTAGATTCTACCAGAATCTACAACAGTTTCTACTTCAAGGGATATTTTACCAAATCCGGTGTGAGTGTTACAAAAATACCAAAGAAGGGAAATTTTGTTAGTATACACACGGTAAATTCAAATCTTTCTTTTCCTATAGAAACATGAACACAAATATCACCTTTTAATATATATTTCCTTCTAAAAAAATGCTCAATTTGAGAGGTGAATTCAGTGTTTGTTGCTGTTGTGTGTGATTGCCAAAAGATTTTGGTGTTTTAAGGGCTGTGTGATATGTGACCGCCAAATTGATTAAAATGCTACAGTAGTTGCCCTGCGACCTTGCAACACTGTGCAGGCCTTCTGTGCCTGACAACAGAAGCTACCATAGTATATAGTCAGCTACCTAACCAGCAGACCCTTTGAGTTTCTTCTCTTTGGATCCTCCCCTGCTAGGTCGGCTTCATTTGTATTTTCTTGCCATTATTTACTCTGTGCATACTCCACTGAATTACATTACCATGTGCAAATTTTCCAAATTTTTGTAGGGAAACTATAGATAAAATGTCAAATTAATGGGCCACCAGAACCGCAGGGTAGCTCATTGCAAACTCTTTAATAAGCTGAATGCCTGCAGTAGATTAGCCAATAGAAGGCTCACTCTTGTTGGTCTTCTGATCTCTTACAAAATGTGAGTGAGTCATATATAACACTATGTTAATATGTCACACCTAACCTTCAAAAATTACTTCCCATAGGGGTACTTGATCACAATTTTTTGGCACCTATAGCACCCAAAGTTGCCTAATTAGGTGATTTGATGACATCGTGTGAATTATAGATTTCTTATGCAAGATCACACCAAAGATGATATTCGGATTGAGTAAAATACTTAATAATACATTTGTCTCCTTCGACATGATACATATACCCTTTTCTATAAACCATGTGCCCAAGCCAGATTGGTCCATCAGGAATATCAATTGGCAGTAAAGGATGTGTTCAAGTTGACCATCGCGGAGGTGGAGATCAGCCCTGGTGCACGCCATTGTAGCGGAAGTATCATGTATGTCGAAAGTGAATTTAAGTGATGCGAAATGTGATCCACATAAGCATCGTCACGTAAATGTCATTGGGTGACGTGGCCTCCCACTTTCTCTCTCTATGGTACTAGCCTCCATGAGACTAATGGCTTCTCCTCCGAATATCGCCCACACTCGGCCGAATGCTTTTGGGGTGTATCCTTGTCCGTTGCTATGAGGGGAAGCATGTCTACCGCCGACTTCCATTGCTTCGAAAACCAAGGACGCATCTCTACAGCAGACGCCACAACCGAGTTGAGAAACATAGCAACTGTCAAATACGTCTGTGGGAGTCCGATAGCTCTCGCTTAAATCGTTGGTCCGCTTGCAGGATTACGACAACTCAAATCTAAGGACTTCGCTCAGGCTTTCTGGCTGCATTCAAGTTCTAGCGTTGAGGTGCGAGATCTCAGTGATGTCTTGCTCAAGTGACTGCACGGCACTAACAAATTGCAGGTCTCCGGCTCCTTCTATCATCCACATTGCTCTTTAGTTGAATGCATGTGGCATGCGTCAGTGGTGGCGGAGAAATGGATGAATGCCGGGTCCTGTCAAAGCTCGTGTGGGAGTCCGATAAGCCAATGGCACCTCATGATCCCCGTCGCGCGTATCTCGACCATCAAGCTCCGAGTCCGTTCTTCCGGTTATTTGCCTCGCAAATACGAAATTGGTATCTTATACAAGTCCCAGGAGGCTTTGCAGAGCAACAATAGAACAATAGGTTTCGGATTGCTCCCACTCGGACTTGTCAAGGTCAACATCAACTTTACTGGTACCTACAGGCTGGTCGTCGACGCAATGAGCTTCGAGCTTCACCTCTTAAAACTGTGTCATTCCGAGAGGAACCCACTGCGATCGCGGCAGATATTGCTTCCGTCATGTTCTTCCAGTGCTCTAAACTCCATGCGGCTCGAAGAGAAGCTACTCGTCCCACCCACAACTTTCGTCGCAGACAACGAGGCTGTTCCTAACATCGTTTCATCAAGCTTCGAACATCAATCAGGACGACGGACGAGGTACTTGGAGGCACTTTTACAAACTAGTTCCAAGTGTTGCCCATAAACCGACCCCGATCGTCCATCGAGGCAGATTAGCTTGCGAGTGGGAAAAAGAATGGGCTCTTCCTCGACAGTGGGAGTCCGTTGAGTGCATCGGCCGATCACGCTCGCCGAAGCGAACTCTCGTCATGGGGACTCACCGTCATTATTGTTAGCCGCCCAGGGGATGATCAGCTGGACATTGTCGCTGAGATGGTGTCAGGCAATTCAGTTGTCATTGCAAGCTACTCGGATCGAAAATTACTTGGTGGCTCATGGACGATAGCGAAACGAGTCGATGATACCGGTGTATGTAACCATTTCAAAACATCTTTCACGAACTCGGCCCGGGCCGACGCGTCTCGCTGGCAATGTGGCCCTGGCTGGCTCGATCCGGAAGATGACTTCTCACCGATCTCTTACTCCGAGTCCCCAGAGCAAGCGGCAAAATTCAAAGCAGCAATCCACCACTCACGAGTGGCTCATGAACTGAAGCCTGAAGGCCGTCGGCGGAGACAGCGTGAGTCTAGCCGATCCGGATCGCGGACCGTATCACCGAACCAGGCGACCAGGAACGACGCTTGAATCTTACCGGCACTCCGCACAGTCCTTATCGCACACATTCACATTGTCCACGATGCGCGCGCGGTGCATTAGAGATTTTGAGGATAATGGATGCAGCGATGGTGATTCGCTGCTTTGCAGATCGTTCATCGGTCACCGCTACTTCGCTATTGAATCCCATTGTCTCGGTCCTCTCTTCCCGAATCCGGCCCACGGCTTCTGGCCGCCGATGGTCAATCAGCGCCGGTCACATCATTCATTTGGCAAGCGCCATTTGGGGATACTTGTCACATCCCTCCCACCTCTCTCCCTCATCTCTTTCCCTTGCAGTACCGCCCCTTCGGTCCGCCCCGGCTGAACAGCCGTCGCATCCAGCCACTCTCTGGCTTGCCTCGACAACGATGTCCCCAGACAGTTGACCACAAGGCCATCTATGGTACGTGCTATCGACGAGCGCAGGCCGCAGCAGTTCAAGTTCACGAGCATTCACTCATGCAGGCTCACCAATACTTGGTAAATCCCCGATCTCGATGGGATCTGGAGAAGCGGGGAAGCTACTCAGCCACCGGACCCCCCTAGCGTTACCCACCATAACGCTTGGGGACTTCTTTTAAGAGGTAGGTCGAATGCGTCACCCTCCCCCTTCTTCCTCCTCGCTCCCTCTCATCCTTCTGCTAGTGCCGCCATGCCTTCTCACAGGGACTCGTGGTCCTACGTACGCATATGGCTTTCTAGCATTGGCTGCGGCTGACTACAACCCATAGCATGTCGTTTCCTCTTCGACCAGGCCACCTCTGGTTATCATCGACGCCGTCGTATGCCTTCTCGGTCTCAAATACATTGCTTCTGACCTTGTTCAGCCCCGTCAGATATCTCAACGGGTACTTGTCATCCAGTAACTCTTGCCCCCGCTCATACACGCTCAGCGCCTGCCCGAGTCGGCTTTTCGGTCGAGGGTGCGCCATCCACTTCTACTTTTCGCTTTCATTGATTCAACTACAGACCTTTGTCGTCTGTCTTCCTTCTCCCGCTTCTTCTTTTTCCTGATGCTCGCCTTAGCTGCCGCCAGCACCATGTCCGCCCTACCTCTCTCTACCATGCTCCCCAAGGTCTTCTATAGACCCGTTTATGCTACAGCTTTCCCAATCCAGCATCGACTCCCTGTTTCCCATAAACCTTCTTCCCCCGTCGCCCTTTCTCCTCTCATCATATCAGCACCAGCTCCTCACCGATGTCATCCCCGCCCATACCACCGTCAATGTAGACAACTGCTCGTCGTCGTTGTTTGAAGTCATGCTAGGCTCTTCGGCACTGACAACAGCAGAGTTCGCGACCTTTCTCAACTTCCTTGCCCGTTCGAAGATCAGCCGCGAGAGCTACGCTGGTGGCGCTGCCTATTTGGGATTTTGCCCCCCGACTGGAACCGGGGCAACGGATCTCTTACTTGGGAATACCGTTCTTTGGACGTTACATCCGAACCCCCGTGACGTCTGGACGGCCACCGTCGACACCCCCCTTCCTACAGCTAGCCATTTGGGGCAACAATGACAACCGGCCCGCCCTCCTTCCTTCCACGTTGCTCTTCTCCCTTTCCTCCCGTCCATCCGCCGCTGTCAACCTTGCTGTCTTCTCTATGTTTTTCTTCTGCTTTCCCCTTGCTCTGATTCGATCTCCCCACCGCATTGTACCATACATCTCATATCTCATGATCTCAGGTCCCTACTCTATTGTAACTATATATATCTTCAAGCACCAATCCACGAAGTGTATTCTTCCCCCATTGGCTGCTGATAACGCTTTGCAATTCGCCCGGGCAGCATGTGGGCCTGCGGCGATTGCAGGCGGCTATTTCCGTTCCGTCGACGGAAAAGGTGCTTGACCAGTGCTCGACCCCGTCGTAACCATCACGACGCTGGCGTTGATGGCAACCCGTCGAGGGGCGTGGGGAGGATACGGGGTCAAAGCGAAGATGGGGTGACGTCCCCCAGACGTCACCTGCTGCCAACTACAATGGCTTGGGGACGGCGGAACGTTGGCGGAACGCAGTCCGTGTCGAAGGAGAAGACGATGGGAGTCATTCAGATGCTCCGTGACTCAACCTGTTCCTGGCTGTTTTAAGAATAAGATGGGTTGAATGCCATTGATGAGTCGATTCTCATCTGTGTTGCTTGTGTCAGATTATGATGCAAATTCTATAATCGTCGTTCAGACGCACAACAAATGAACTTTGTACTTGCCACGGTAGACTCGGGACCTGACATTGATCGTCGACCATATACTAGTAGATGATACTGGATATTCTTCAACTTGAAGAGTCAAGACCAAGTTCAAGTTCGCTGGCTACTACTAGCCTACTAGCCAGCGAACAATCCCAAGGGCCAAATCTATTCATCCTACTTACTTAGTAATCCTTGCCCACGAATTTACCAAAGGAATCCACGGAAAAATCAGGGTGTCATTCTGTCGACTCGGAATGAGAGATATAAGTTGGGACTTCGGGTTTCATAAATGGTACAATCGTTCGTATTCAAAACTTCTTGCTTAATATTTCAAGTTCCTTCCGTGTCCATTGAACTCCATTCGAAGCTGGAGTGCTAACGCTACACATCGTAGCCGTTCCGTCCGCCGACCACGCCAAACGCCGGGCCACCGCGACCAAACATGGCGCGCAGGTCGCCTACCAGCGCCTCTGGCTGCTCGTGCGCGGCAAAGTGCCCGCCTTTTTCGTGCTCCGCTTCGGCAACGACGTTCCCCAGCAGCCGGGTCCACACCCGCGGAAGCACGATGATCTCCTTCGGGAAGTACGAAATGCCCATCGGGATCGTCGGGCTGGCGGCGGGGAGCGGGTACTGGTCCTCGCCCCAGAGCACTTCGTAGTAGATGCGCAGCGTCGCGGTAGGCCCCGCACGGGAGAAGTAGTAGCTCGAGACCCATGTCAGCACTGTAGGAGTTGGTTATCCCGAGTGAATAAATTTCGGTGAGGCTTACCCTCATCGTCGTCCCACGGATAATCGTCCGTCCAATCAAGCAGCTTCTCGTATATCCAAGCCAGCAGTCCGACCGGCGAATCGGCAAGCCCGTACCCCAGCGTCTGCGGCTTGGTCGACTGCGGGCCATGGTAGCCTTGACCGCGAGTGCGGAACCATTTCGTGCGCTCCTGTCCCGCCTTTTCCCACTCAGTGTACGGTTGGATGTAGGAGAGAACGAAAGAGAGTGGGTTGGAGAAGAAGTTAGGACGGCGAGCCCTGGGGACAGGTGAGCAAGCAGAAGAAACAGTACATGCACAGACATGGGGAGGTTAGTATGCCATCAAGGGGGGCGCAAGATGCCTATCACGGCTATGGGGCAGGGGGGGCCAGAGCCTAGAAAAAAAACTTTTGTGTTTGGTGTAGGGATGCTTCAAGAGGTACTTAGGAGGCCTTAGGAGGCCTTTCATATGTAGATCTTCCATGTTAAATGCCATTTTATACCTTTGAATGCAGTGAAACCCAGTTTTTTTGGTGAAGTGACTAAACTTGTCACAGTCTTTGATAGCATCAACATATCATCATGATGCAAGAAGCAATACAACTTTATAAGGCATAGGAACATTATAATAGCCTAGTTACAATTTAATTTAATCACATTTTCCATTTTCAAGACCTCTATCGATCATTTTGATGCGATTTTGATCGCATCAGTCACGTTTTCGTGGGAGATCATTACTATATAAGGCAGGAGGGGGGGGAGGGGGGTCTGAAGGCCCAGAAAAAAAAAACATTCGGCCCTATGTACATAATTTGAATGTTGGGCCCCCTTGTATGCCATGCCTTTGCATGCTTTGGGCCATAATTACGGGCTAGGCGCCGCGTTATCTAGAAGCCCCAATCTCCGCCCTGGGTGACTGTCGATGTGTCAGTTAAGGCTGCGCACGGTGGCAGACCCACCATATTCATTGTAACCCAAAGCAAGCATGAGCCGGTGGCCGGCCTGGGCATATTGGTCGAGCTTGAAGCCCTTCTTCGTTGGTGCTTCGGAGAAGCCGTATCCAGGCAGCCCCACCGCAACGACGTGGAAGGCGGGGTGGTCGGACGAGCCTTCGATCAACAGCGGTGATGAGGGTGGATGACGGGTGGGGAGACTGGAGATGAGACCGACACTACACAACTAAAACCCAACAACAAAACAACAAATAGTCGTTCTGCCTGAGCGATAACCGTATAACACCGTTCCAAACGTCCAACAACCACCAATAACCGTCTCCTAATACGAGTGCAGAACCCTGGGAACAGAGCCTGTACACGGGTGTGCAAGGTTGTAGGGTAGATCGAATGAAATCTTGTTAAAGATTTGTTTTGTGGTTGTCCTTAAGCGTACTATCGACGAAATCCAGCAATAGGAAAGCGCCAATACGATGCCCAGAACCGTTTATACTCGTTTGGATCAGGAATTAACTGCCTTAAACCCTAGGAGTCGTCTCAAGTCAGGAACTAACTGCCTTAAACTCTCGACCGCCAACCGAAACCAAGTGTACGCCAACCGAAACTCTCTTATACGGCAACCGGAACCCTCAACTCTTTGATCACAACGCCTTTTTACTTGAATGAAAGAGCTAGCAGGATGATATTGACAAGCTAGATCCCCAGATGCACCTAGTAACGCGGGGCAATCCGTGAATCGCTCAAATACAGGACAGAGATATAAATACTAAAACAGAAAATGATAAGATCAGGTAAATCGCCACAACAGAATGATGGTCCATGTGCATAATTTGTAAGGTATCGTTTCGCCATAAGGCCCAGAGTCGAAAATCCAGGTCTAGATGACTGGTAGCGCGTGTTTGGTGTCAATGACCGTTGTAAATCCTCCTTTATTGCGACCGTCTATGCGTTTTTGTGAACGGTCCGCTAACCGTTGTTGTTATCGTCATGTTGCTCCACTCCCTAGCTTTCCATCGATATCCATGACTTGAGGTTAACCGCCAGACACCGTTAGGCAAATCTCTTAACGAGATAATCACAATCTATTGTCGAGTTGTTCGGTTGGACGGTTGCGGGTTAAGGTCGCCGCGATTTGCAGCCAAGCCCTCGTTTCCACTGAGTCATGCTTCCCGTTTAACCGCACCTCCACATGTCCTTGTCCTTGCGTAAGTTCCGAAACCGCGTTCCAATACTGTCAGGGACTGATCCGTTCGAAGCCTGGTTGAACCTTCGTCGGAGCGTTCTGAGTTCGAGTCCCAGCGCGTGCCAGACCGAATATGCCTTTTGGTTTACACTCCCTTTTGGTATATATATAAAGGATTGGATGGATCCTCTATGATGGTTGGGCTCTGCTGTTGTTTTTGGTTGTTGTAAGAGTCGTTCTGGACGGCCAGTTGCTATCAACAACGGTCCAATCGAAACGCCTCCTCGCAGATATCTCCCTAACTGGCCATTCGGGACTCATGCCAGTTCCTAGACGTGCGCTGTACCCATGAAACGAACAAAAACGGTGGTTTTCTATGTGTGTTCCAAAATGCGGCTTATCAGCGGCAAGATTTTCCAAACCTCGAGAAAGTTTCCCGGCCCTACGACGAAGCGTCAGCAACGGCAAATAAGCAAAAATGTCGCCACGCACATCCATGGACAAACAACAACGGAATGGCATCCACCACGGTGCTCTTCTGGTGCACATAATGGATATTGAGGGGCCCGAACTCGTCTACATCGATATCCCGCGTGAACATGGGCAGAGCCTCGTTAATGGCGCGTTCATGCACCCAGGACCCGGGAAGCTCTACCAAAGGGTGATTCAAAAAATTTCCAGATTTTGGCCTCAAAAACCCATTTTTTTGAGCCCCAAAAACCCATTTTTGAAGAAGGATCGTGACATGTCACTGTGTGACACTTGCTAAAAATGGTAATTTTTGCAGGTGTCAAAAAGTGTCTTGCGCCGCTTTTACCTTTGAACTAACACTCTTTGGGGTGATTTTCCTCTCAAAAGGCATCTGGTACTCGGTGGTGCACAGGCCAGTCTAAAACTTTCCTGCGAACCTCCCCAAGGCCTGAAAAACCCATATTTTGAAGAGGGTTTTCAGAATTTTTGTCTCAAAAACCCATTTTTTGGACAAGGAAATCGCGATTTTTGGGCCTCAAAAACCCAAATTTTTGAATCACCCTTGGGTGGAGCTTCCCGGGTCCTATGCACCCGCCAGTCATAGCCACCCCGCCAGCGCTCCACCAGGCGGCGCACGTCGGCCAGTGGGGTCCCGTACTCTCGCCCAGACTCCTCCAACTCGTCCGGAAAGCGCGCAAGTGCGAGCTTCTGTCGGAGCTCTTCGATATGCGTGTCCGGTACCGCGATTTGGAAAGGTTTCTCTTGGGACATGGGTAAGTGTGCCTTGTGTATGAGTTAGAGGCGGTGGAGCACAGAGGAGGCCTACTTAATATACTCACCCAACTTTCGACCTCGCTACTTTATTTTGTTTTCGGGAGCGGTGGAGCCCATCGTGCATGATGGCGTCAGTCGCGTCACCGGTGAAGAGCGCCTGACCCGCCTGATTCAACATACCTTCCCGGCGAGTGAAAAAAGAAGAAGCATCTGACACGTGTCATCGGAAGCGTCACCCGTGATCACATCAGTGCACATGACGAAGGTTCTTTTTTTTTTGTTTCTGCATTTATGAAAACAGGCCGATGCGCGGTGGAGAAAACCTGGTCTGTTCTCTAGGAGAGGAGGTTAACCTGCACATAGGATGAGGGTCATCATGTTAAACAGCTCTTAATCATATTTTGTCTTGCCCTTTCTGAGATCATGCATGAACTGTATTCAGCATTAGTGTGGGTCGTACTAGGGTGCAGAATTAAAATACTGAGACATTTACATCCTGTTTTCGATACCTGGGGCATTTAAAAAACCAGCTTCAAAACAGTGATATATTAAATTGCCTAAAAAGGCAATTTTGAGCTCTCAGATGAGTTTTTAATGCCAAAGTCCCTGGTATCACCAATTACTGATATTGTATAACCCTTATTAGTACCTCTAAATATTTAAATTTGCATATTGAGTAAGTTTTCACTCATATTATCCTGACATATTTTCCCCTTTTGAAAGTCTGCACACTGAGTTTTCCCACACCCTGTCAGGGAACCCCCGCTTCGGCCTCCTTCGGACCCTCCGAACGCATCCGAGGCGCATCCGACCGGCGCCCCCTCGGACGCTCCGACCCACCCCGACTATCCTCCACGGCCTCCTTCGCCCGCACAATCACCGATCCGTCAAGACCCTCCCAACGATCACCTTGGGACAGAGCCTGCGACACCGCTCAGGCCTTCTGCGCTCTACGTCGGGCAGTTACGGACGACCAGTATATAGTTGGCGCCCTAGCAGGCGGACCCTTAGAGTTTCTTCTCTTTGGATCCTCCCCTGCTAGGTCGGTCCCCCCCGTGTATTTCCGTAGCTTTTATTCATGCTTTGAATCCTCCCCTGCTAGGCTTTCGTCGGAGTCTCCAGGGTTGCCCTTACACACCCTTGCTGTTTTAAAACAGGTGTTTTTGCCTGAAAGATTCAAAACAGTGTTTTGAAATGGGGATTCAATCCAGACTTCAGAGCTCCTATGGACAGTTTAATAGCATAGGTTTAAGGGTCAAGGCTCAAGCCGAACCAAGTGTAAGCTGCCGCAGTCGCTCGGGGAACCTCGGCGAGGAGCAATTGGGGGCATCGGCAGAGAAAAGTACTTACATGATGGTTGGAATGATTATCAGGCCGAGGGTTTGGAGTCTGGAACGGGCTATTGATAGTGTATATCACGGGACTGATGGGTCTTATTTCTGGGCTACCCTAAACACAAACAAACTGTGTTCTATTTGTGAACATACTGCAACAAGTACACTAACTACTACGACATGGTTGCCAGTTTGACCTGGTTGTTGATGGTCTAGGCCTTGGTGTTGGTTTGGGGAGGTATTGGCTGTAGTGAAAGGCACCTGCATGTGCAATTGAGTAAGCGGGGGTAGTGCTGAGGCACAGAGAATTATTCATAGAGCATGCACACTGGGGTTTCAGCCAAAAAATGATGGCCTAAGCAGGATCTATATATAGGAAATAATATTTCCAAATAATGGCCTTTTTTGCTCCTTTAACTGATAGTTGTATCTAATTTACAAGAAATCAAGTTTCATATCATGGTATCCAAGTCAAATATTGTCTACATTATGACTACTCCATTCCTGACTGTGTTTTGTAAACATTAAGTGTATTGGTACATTTATTTGTTGCAAATCATTGCCACAAAATTGTCAGCTGATATTAGGGTGTGTCACGCATCCGTTGCTAAGACTGTATATACAAAACCTGCCAACACAATCCACACCAATCGAATTTACAACTACTACATCTCAACGGTGTTGTCAGGGGAACCTCCCTTTCGGCCCGGAGACGCGCCCGATTCCGGTCCGACTCCGGTTCCGACTCCGGTCCGGCCCTCCATCTCGCCCGCACAATCACCGATCCGTCAACGCCCTCCCGACGGTCGCCCTGGGACCTCGCCTGCGACGCCGCCCAAGCCTTCTGTGCCCGACAGCGGCAGCTACGGACAAGCAGTATATAGTCAGCTACCTAGCAGGCGGACCCTTAGAGTTTCTTCTCTTTGGATCCTCCCCTGCTAGGTCAGCTTCATTTGTATTCGCTTACCAATGTTCACGCCTTTGGATCCTCCCCTGCTAGGACCTTGATCTCAGGCCTCCGGGGTTGCCCTTACAGGTGTGTGTGTGTGCTGTTTCACAATGGTGACTGCACTGACTGCTGTTAGGTTCAGATACGCTCAGAACACGCCGTTGGATTTCTCAAGGGCTGCTTCCAGTCCTTACGTGGGCTCCCACAACAAATTAAGAACAAGCAAGACCACCACCATGCTCTTGTATAGGTCCCCCCATGTATTGTCATCCATACCCTCATCCATGAAATCAAACAAGCTGACGACGACAACGAGTTCAATGCAGAGCTCCATGTGGTGGGGCTTTCTTCAGACTCAGACTTGGACTCAGATGTGCTGGAAGTGGTGAATGGTCAGAAATCTGCATAGGAGTCTGTGGGGCAGTGCAAGCAGAGGAAGGTGAAGGATGCTCTGGTTGATAGTGGTGTTGTTAGAGCTGCTCAGTGACTTAGAATACACTAATTCAAAGTGTTTCTACTTATCACTACCATACATGCCTGACATATCAAAGTTCCACTGCGATACAGTGCCGTCATTTGATGCTGGAGGTGGGATCTGGAATCCACTACCAGATATGCTGGGGCCAGAGGTGAATTGGCCAACCATCTGTGAAAGCATGTGGTTCTGCCCCATCTGCACCTTCAGCCGCATATTCTCATTTTCTGAGTTTTTCTCCTGTTGACTGCAGCAAGGTCAAATCCATGATGGTGTTTTTGTGTGCCTACATCATCTTCATCCTTCACTGACTTCCCCTTCCCATCCTTCCCCTTGCCCTTCCTGCTCTTGACCTTCTCCTTCTTTGCCTCCTTCCCCAGCTTCTTCTCATCCTCCTTGCTCAATTTCTTCCCCTCCTTGATTTTGCTCTCCGTTTTAGGCCTTGTTCAGACCAACCCCTTGATAGATGGAACCTTATTGTCCAAAGCAACATCTATAGGGTTGGTGGAGTTGCGGGCATAACCAGTGTCAATGTCGCTGGTTGTAAGCTCATTATTGTCCTTGTCTTCAGGCTTAGATACCGCTTCACTACTCTTGGCAGCTGCAAGGAGAGTTACTGCCGTACTACTATGGTCGACACTGTGTGTTGAGTTGGACACACCAATCGGGTCAACATTGGGGATGCCGCTGATAAGAGGGTGGAGCTCATCCCACCAGGGGAATTCCGCCTTGATTTTCTCTAGCTTGGGTAAGAAACAAGTTGTGTGATGGTAAGGGGACTATACCAATAGCATTGTTGTACTCCTTGCCTTCCTTAATGCCTCTACCAGTGACTGTAATTGTCTTCTTCTTCTGCTAAATAGTATTGTTGTACTCCTTGCCTTCCTTAATTCCTCCACCAGTGACTATAATTGTCTTCTTCTTCTGCTTGTCAGTGTTGTATCTAATGATAAGGGTTAGCTTGAAATTCAGGGTTATTTTCATTCTAAGTTAAGGCCTTAGATTGGGCTGGGAACTAATCTAAGGCCTTATCTACCCTTATCTACCCATGTGACCCAGTGTGACCTGCATGATAGCGGCAGACATCAACTGTTGTCAGCTGCACTAACAGAGGAAGGGAGCTTCTGCAGGCCAAGCATGGCCAGCTGCTGGTACACTTGAGGGTTCTTGTGACGATTCTCATGGATAAATGGTTGAAAATAAATTTCTTTTTTGGGGGAAATAACCCTTAAAAAAACCCTTAGAATCACACCCTAAATAAGGGTAAATAAGTATCTAAGACCCTTTAATTCAAAAGTGACCCTTATTTTGGGTCTTATAAACAACACTGCTGCTTGTAGTAGCTCTTCTTGATGCTGGCAGCATAATATAAGCACAGGACACCAAAAATGAGGAAACATACTGGTTCCACATCTGGATGGTCAACTGACTTAACGGAGTTGGATCTACTACATACTTCCACTGCCACTTCATGTCCATATCCTCCGAGGTGAAGATATCCTTGGTTCACTTCGCAAACATGACATCCTTTCCCTCCTTTGCCTGCATCCTCCCGTGGCCCTCTTGCTTTGCCTTCTTGGTTGAATCACCAAGAAGTTCGATTCGGAAATCGGGGTGGTTGGAGAGGTAGGTGATAAACTATGTGACCCACTTTGGGTGCTTGGTGTCAGGGGAACCCCCTTTTCGGCCCCTCGGAGACGCGTCCGACTCTGGTCCGATTCCGGTTCCGACTCCGGTCCGGCCCTCCATCTCGTCCGCACAATCACTGATCCGTCAACGCCCTCCTGATGGTCGCCCTGGGACCTCGCCTGCGACGCCGCCCAAGCCTTCTGTGCCCGACAGTGGCAGCTACGGACAAGCAGTATATAGTCAGCTACCTAGCAGGCGGACCCTTAAGTTTCTTCTCTTTGGATCCTCCCCTGCTAGGTCAGCTTCGTTTGTATTTGACAAACACAAAGTTATTTATGGCTTTATCTGTCAGAAAAAACCAATATTTTTCTTCCAGATTTATCCAGGATTTATCTCTAGTCCTTTTCTTTATAGAAATGCCATGTTAAATTACGAATGTAACATTTATCTATAAGTTTTACCTGGGTGTTTGTGCTGGAAAAAGGCTAGCTTTATCCCTGAATTTTCCATGTGTCAAAAAGTACCATTCATATAGTGGTTTTATCATACCAAAAATCTACAGATAAATTCGGAATTTATTCTTCCATTTATTCTTTAACTTTCATAGGGGGGGGGATCTCTAAATCATGTTCGATTCGGAACAACTCTCCAAACACGGACACCAAATTTTAGCGCAACTCCTGCCGTGAATAAATATTAAATCAATCTTCCCAGTGCACACAACTTAAATTTGATTTGAAGTCTATTAGCAGGACAGGATTAATTGACTAACTTCAACCCTGATACAAATGAATATACTGATAATAGTTCATTATAAGACAACTCGGACAACATATATCCCAAGTGTATCAAGTCCGTTGAGTAACAACCAGTGGCAACAATCAAGTATAGCCGTAAGAGTTGTCCAAAATGCTAGGGAGGGAATGAATATTCGTCTGCCCAATTATGCAAACCGTCATGTGCCTGCCCGACTGCGGGGAAAACTTGGTGGGGCCACGAGTTCCTGCGTAAAAGACCGCTAATGAAGGGTGTATAGGAATGGAATGGTATGTTAGAACTGAAGCCAGGTCAGACACGACGCCAAATAGACAGGAGGACATACTGTAAGGGGGGTAACATAGGCATTATATCTGGAGAGTACCGAGGCTGCGAAACAAACGAAGCTCCTGGCGGGATCTGCATCACGTCAAACGACGGTCCCAGGTCATAATAGTTGTAGTCATATGAAGGTGCGGAGACCAAAGGCCGCGGCACCTAGTGCTTAATTAGATCGGCAATGGATCAAGCAAAGCTATAACGCGTACGTCGTGATGGTTAAAAGCAACGTCATGGCCAATGGCATGTGGGCCGCGGCCTCGCTCGTGAGACAAAGGCTCATCCCAGGTAGATCTCCCCGTCGGACTTGCAGGTAAGGAAAGAGGAAGTCGAAGTGGAGAAGGGGAGAGGCTGCCCGGCTCGCTCGCAGCTGATTCTGAGACGACTGGCCAACTTAAGGCTACCTTCGCAGCATCCCTTGCCTCCTGCTGGTCGACGTCGATGTATTCACAGAAAAGCTTCTTGCGGGTGCAGCGTTGACAAGACACCCATTCGTCGTGAACTATAACATGGCACTAAGCGACAATTTCAGTGCCAGCAAGACTCGATTGCACGCAAACGCACCCTTACATGCCTCCGTCGACAATGTACGCAGGCTATCGGAGCGCGAGCGAGTTTCGTTTGTCGTTTCGGCGGCATATTGAGGAGTATTGAGTGACAGCGACAAGAGCGGTGACTGAACGGCGCTGGAGGTCTTCCGCTTCCTCTCTGTGTCCTTTTATACGATGCTTCTTGAAAGCTACTCTATATCGAGCTTCGATTTGAGAACCATCAGGTATCGCCACCTCACAGCCTAGTGTTTCAATGGAGCATGCGTGGGGCAGCTCTGGTCGGTGGAATCTAAACCGGCCGTGAAGGCGTGAGTGCGAATGGCGTTGATAATATGGAGTGGGCGGTAATCAGGGACGCGAGAAGCTTTCCTCTGGGAGCGAATATGCCAAGGCTTGTCAATCCTACACAATTAAGCGCTGTTAATAACGAGCAGCGAAATAAAGCACCTTCCACGTCGACCTTCCGAGTCGTAACTGCCGTGACAGCCTCGAAAAAACTGATGGCGTTGCGTGTCCCTTCGTAGTATCGTCCACTGCTAACACCTCCCGGCGGCGCAAAGAGAGCAACTCCGCACTGGCTGGATCGAAGGTGGCTGATGGTTGACGAGAACAAGGATGACGGGCGGTGACGTGTCACTGATCGCAGTCCAAGCCGAACGGCGAGCTGTCAAATCAGCGGGTCGCGAATGGCAACGGGCACGTGATCGGTAAGTTAAGGCTTAAACGTGTTGCCGGTGCCTTGATTTTTTTTGGCGCGTGTGGAGCGAGAATGCAAAATCTTGATTGGTACGAGAAGAATCAAAACCCCACTGGCAAGCTTATCCAATGATTAATATTACCACCTCAGTCTGCTGGAGTCAAAACCCTAAGTAAACAAGTTTCTGCAGCGCTGCTTGACTGCTGCATGAAGTTTGTTTCAATTTGTGAGGCTGTCAATCGAACAATATCCTTGCACAGATTAGTTAAGCTTAAATCATACATTGTACATGTATGGTCGCTTTCAGCAGCCCTAAGGGTGTTGATTTGCGTATGAGTTGGAAAGTAACGGAAACCCAACGGAAGGCTAAATATACTTTGATATATGCGGATCTACACCGTCGGCACCGGAGATCTGCCAAGGCCCAAGAGGGAGTGGCGAGGAATCAGTCGGCGATTATGCACCATCCATCTAGGAATCACTTCTACGGACCACAGCCTGAGCCAAAATCTTTCAAATTTGTATGTGAAATTGTCAATATGCTTGCAATATCCATGTATCCAGAGATAGAACATCCCAAATGCTAACATTAAATACCGTTGTAGCTTTAATAGAGTATACCAAGTACAATACTAATGACCCGACCAATGTTTGAAATTCTTCATCCTACCCTCCTCTGGCCGTTGACAAACTAACTTGGATCAACTGCGCTAACATCCCCTTGATCTCCGATAACTCGCCCTCCAGCGTTGTAATACGATCCTCCAACTTTGGCTTCTTGGAGGTCTACCGACCAGTTAGCCTCACAACACAAGGAACATTCAACTTCACCTTCGTACGATAGACCTCTGAAATACTCGCTGGCTCGATTAACGACGTAGGCCGCTCAGACGGACGCCGTTCGAAATCGAAGTGGTAGAAGTAGCTCGACCCGCGATGGGGATTTCTCCCCGGATGCTATGATACACAAATCAGCACGCAAAACTTCACTATGCTTCGGTGGCCGGCTTACCAGACTGCGAGTTGGATGGCCACCACTATTCGGATATGGTGCCTGCACTTATTCGAATATGCGGAAATAGAGAACGAAGGAATGTACCGCAATGCCAGACGGTGGGCTTGTGGGGCTCAACAGGCCGGGCGATGTCGGTTGGGGCGGCAACGGGTAAATCAATATCTCTTGTGGAGTTCTCGGCATCCTCGGCGATACCGGTCGCTGGTATGTCGGTGAATATGAGCTCTCATGGACGTCGTGCTGCTGCTTGATCGAGGTCAGCGCGCCGACGCGTGGTTTTCAGCGGGAATCTCACATCAGCAAAGACTTGGTGCCACTCTCGAAATATCCCACCAGCAAAGCTCTGGACGAGAAAATCCGTGTCGAGCCGCTGCTGTCTCCAGCTCTCGGTCAGCGTGCGGTATCGCATGCCGAACGCGGCGGCGAGGTTTTTCATACTGTTGGTCATGCTGCTCAGCTCTTGTTCGTGGACGACAAGAGAGTTTGCGACTTCCAGAATTGCCAAATGGCGCTCGAGGATGAGCTCGAGGACACAAAGTATGAACTGGAGAATTGGAATCAGTTCAAGTTGGACCACGACCGAATGCAAACAGCTCACCCCTTCAAGCCTGTATGTCCCCAAAACGGCCAAAACCGTCTCAGGACTCTCAAGTTGATATTGAATCCTCTCCATCCTCGTGCTTATGGCTTCGGACTCTTTCTTCATCATATCCGCACGAAGTGCATCGAGTTGCACCGGACTATGATGAGCCCGGCGCGCCAGCATGTCCGGAGCAACGGAGTTAACAACGAGATAGAGCTCCGATATTCCGCTCGTTTTGATATAGGCTTTGACGCCAGGCCTATTATCGGGATGAACCTTCCGCGCGGCCGATTCGATTGCCGAAAATATGCTCTTGTTTGTTATTAGAACTTGGCAGAGAGCAGATAGCTATTTACCTGACAGCGCTCTTTGTAAGCCAAGGAATTATGTTTCCATCCCGCTGCCCAGCTATGCATGTTCGTCAGTAGAAGCTCTGTTGAATTCACAGCAAGACGCACTATGCAAGCCATTGCGGCGCAGACCATTCTTTTGGCCGAGACTTGAAAAAATGATTGACTTCATGGACGGAGATGTACCCGCTGCCATCGTCGTCGATGGCATCAGCGATACTGGGATAGTCTAATCGGTCGCAGTTCAATCAGCAAGACATTGCCGGCGAGTATCATGGACTACGTACAAATGACCTGACTCAGGACATATAACGTCCATTCTTCGCCATGCCTGTCGCCCGAGTTACGTTCATGATCGCTGAATCGCTGGACGAAATGACTGTGCACCGCTGAACCCCATCTCAGTGTCAATGGATTCGGTGTGTTTTAGCTCTTACCATCGACAAAGTGTCGGGATTTGCAGCTGATCTTCCAGTTCTGCTAACCGTCAACCGATTGCTCTTGATTTACTCCGAAGAAGTATGACTGACCATGGCTTGCCAAACACTCCGAATATCATCGTCCTTGATCAGCTGGTATGCCCCCGAGTTAAGTTGATGCAGTATCGCGTCCTTGGAGCGCTCGAGGGCATCGGCCATCTCTTTCTGCGCTGCCTCGACCTTCAGCGAGAACCCCGGCCTATCCAGTTTGTCTCTGATCAGCCGCGAATATAAGCAAAGCACACAACCCACATGTTCGACGACAACGCCTCATCAAGGCTCACCCTTAGATGTGTTTGGATTTGAGGGTCCAGGTCTTCCTGGGCACCAAAGTGGTCTCGCGCCAATTGGTTGAGAAATGAAGAGTCCTGGTCCGTATTTAAAATCAAAATGCAAACGGTCTGGACGCAATACTCACCTCGAGAGCCCTCTCGCCTCCAACCCGCACCGCCTCCCCGATCTTCATCTCGAACGGCGTCTGCCTGCTAAGCATGCCGGTGACAGTCGCAAGCTGCTTCGTCACCAGATCCAACTGCGCTGCCATCCCGCCAACGCTCCCGAGCGTCTCGTGTATTTCCAGCGCAGAGCTCTCCGACAAGAGGAAATGTAGGTCGGATTTGTGGGTAGCGAACGCGGTTGTAAAGCCTGTCAGCTTTTTGCGATATTCCGAAGACCTAAGCGTGTGTGTAAAGTGGCCGTGTCGATAATACACACTGTGGAGCGCTTCAAAAACATGGTAACTGGAAGATTTAAGACACAAACTCTCGAAAGTTCCCAAAATCCTCTATCGTTTTCGCCACGGCCTGGAAGAAGTTATCAAGGCCATCCTTGATATGGTCGTGGTCGGCACGGAAGATCGCTTGAAGGTCGCACATGGTGAACCAAAAGACCGACTATGAAGGTGTCAAGGTCGGAACAACTGACTTTCTTGTACCCACCATTGTATGATAAACAACCAGCTGTAACACTCGTTCAGATGCATAATAGCTAATACGAAAGGCAACTCACGATGTTCTTGTCATTTTCATTTCGTTCCAGCTCGTGTTTGATAACAACCTAACTCGCAGGTTAGCTCCATCTCGGCTGACTACTCCATTAAAGCTCACCGAAAATATCGATTCCGCGACCATGATCGCCGGGATGTATTTCACCACCGAGTCAAGGATGACAACGACATCCTTCGCAGGTTCCAGTACTGCCGCAGCGCTCTCTTTGACAACGCTCCATGCTTCGCTGGCGATCAGCTCGTCCACAATCGTTTGTGCTTTTGTCAGGTTTTGCATCCCATTAGTTATCATAGGACCTCGAACAAAGTTTAGCGCGTATTGGAACGACGGAGCTGGCTAACATACCGACAGTAGCAGCGACCTTGGCCTTGTCCATTGCAGCAGTCTGCATGATTCCACGGAGTCCACGCGCTTGGCCTGTACTATGGGCGGCGATCTGTGCGGGCAAACCGTCGACGGATCCCAGTGCTTCTCTCGAAAATGAGGGGAACACGCTTCCAGACTGTTGAGCAGCGGTTAGAACCGCAGCAGCTGCAAGTGCGGGTCCCGGGGAAGGCAGAATGGCGTTCGCCGTTGCCAGCCTCGCATGTGTTAGGTCTTCTCTGGAGGATGCGGGTGACACGACGCGGGGGAGAGCATGAATGTTGGAAGGTGGGGTCGGTGCTGGACAGAGTAAGAAATTAAGACGTTCAACGAATGGAAAACTGACGATATGGAAACGAGGACAAGGACGAGTCGGAACCTGAGTTGGCACGCACAGGCGGCGCGCGATATGGTTGGGGGAAGGGGAAGGGCCGGGATGCAGAAGGAGAAGGAGGTTCAGACAAGTTGCGGGTATGAGTGGGGAGTGGTGGAACAGGAGGAAGCTAAAGAACGTCGTAGTTGGTGAACTCATTCGCATAGAGTACTGGGTTACGCACCGATGTGTCTCTCCGCGGGGAGCCGATAGTCTCTCGCGAGGGTTGCCTCTTGAGATCGCCTTTCTCCGATGAGCGTTTCCGTATCCTGAGATAGGAAAACGGTGAGTGATGTCGCTTTTCCTTCTCTTTCTCCGGCGGGGGCATATCGAGGTCAACAAAAGATGTGTCTGCATCTGTGGCGTGTGGGCCGCTGGTGCGGCCGCGCCTGCCGCCGGGGAAGATGACCGACATAGAGCGTGGTGGTGGGGGAAGGAGAGGGAATTGTGGAGAACGTCGGCTCGAAGTTAGAGCGACATTTGTTGCACGCGGAGCCGGCGCATCGGGATTACAGCCTACAGCTTCGCACAGACAGACAGCAGATTGACGCCTTCCCAGCACGCTGATCCAATTGAGAGGATGCGATCATCCTTCCAGCGCCCAGTACCGGCGGTCCGAGAGTTATGCTGCACTTGGATCGTAGAGCCGTAGGATGCGGTAGCCAGAGGGCGACCAGCACGTACCGAGCAGCGGCAAGCTCGAAGACAGGCGGTCGAATGCAAGGCCCGGTTCGCGCGGTCGGGTCGAATGCGACCTGCCCAAGATCCATACCGTCTGTCGGGCCAAGCCTGATGCCGCATTTGTTATGGTTAATCAATCGCCACTCCTGAAATACACCATACCCCGGCGGGAGACTGGGAACGTCATTCATGAGCGCACATGGGAAGACGAGTCTCACCTAGACATACGCCGCATACACGGTATTTCCCTCCCCCTCCAGCTCTCTCATTCCATCCAGCGCGTGCAGAATTCCACATGAGCGCAGGTATCCATCACATTCTTTGGTGGCCCAGCGCTCGCGCTGGCAGAAACAGCGCCCATTGGCGATGATCAATACCAGTCGAATGCCACAAGAAGATTGAGTCGCGTTCTCGCCCTTTCGAGCGGCGGCGGTCCGGCCTGGGATAGTGGGAAGCTCATACATATGCCGGGGAAAAAAAAAGAAGGGCAACGTGAGTCATCGTTACGGTCACAGTCACATCGATGTGATCGGACGCGACAAGACGGGATGTGACTGTGACGCATCAATAATCATTATTGACAATCCAACCTGGCTGGTAGAGAGGATACATAATCAGGTGGGGATCTTTAACATTGTTTTGGGGTGCTTTGGTGTTGTTCATGGCTGGGGCTCTTTGGGACTGGTTTGAAGCTGAGGCCCACAATTGGCTATTTTACTTACTGATTCTGAATCATATTCTTGGTGTAACATTGCATACAAAAAATATGACTTCATATAACTCCGTTATTTGGAAGTTCTTGGCGCTGAAGTAGCCAGAAAATTGCCAAAATTAGTGCTTTAGGACCTAAAATTCTTAAAAACCTCTGTGATATACAAAGAAAAAATCATATAATATATTGTGAGTGTGAAATTTGAAGTGACTGAGATACTAGGTACAGTACTGTATCACACCTTCAGTTGCAGTATGCACTAGAATTTGATATGAATCCAGGCTGCAAAAGTTACTTTGAAAAGAACTAGTTTTGCTTTTTTGCGAAAAAAATGTGTCATAATCCTTATCACAGATAGGGGGGCTCAGAGGTGGTTGAAAAAGGGCTTTTGTATTCATGAAAGCTTACAGTTGTTTTTGCCAGTCAATGATCCATATCTCTCTTTAAAGTTTTTGGACAGAGGGGTATTGGTGGGTTTTGCTTAGGCTCAAAGGAATTCTTTGTTTAGAATGTAAAAACATTTTTTAATGAATGGATAACTTTCTTTGTGTAAAAACCTGACACAACATCATATGTTTGGCTTTGTTTTTTAATGCCAAAAACTAGTAATTTCCTTTATGCAAGTTGATCGCAAAATTTCTTGTTTTCTTATGACCTTTTCTCTTACAAAAACAACTTGTTTTCGTCAGAGGAAATTTAATAACTTGAAATAACCATTGATTGTTTTATTTGTCAAAACACACTCTCTACAAACAGTAATTTTTTTTTCTCTTTTTTTTTCTTTTTTTGGCAGTACATAAAAGCTAAGACAGAGAACATAGGTTATCATACAGAGCTTAAGTAAAGGCTGGGCCCACAGGGGGCCCATGGCTGGGAGAAGGGGATCCACCAACCAGGGAAATGTACAACTACATGAAGTCCAAACAACAGTGTGGGGATCCACCATGGAGTTAATGGTTACGGCTGCATGGGCGCGTCTCGCAGGCAGGACCCACTAAAACCCTGGTTCCTCGTAGCCACTTCCCGACAGCCTGCGCTCCCTCATGATCCTCGACAACTCCGGTCCAGGTCTCGAGCATGATCTCAGGGCTGATTGCCTGTAGTTTGCCCCCAATGGGGCGAGCAGCCATGACTCGGTTAATATCAAGCCTTGCATTGATGGCGGCGTACCATTTGTTACGCACCTCCAGCAGTGTGTGTGCAAACAGTAATTTCCTCTCTTGAAAAGTTGACTTTGTGCCAATATTGTACTATTTTGTATTTTTATGAGAAACCCTCATGCAAACTTGGGCCAAGTGCCTCAAGGCTTTGATTATTTATTCTCTACCCACTATCTTATTAGTATATAGACTTCAAGCATATTATTAAACCTATTCATACCCTATGTACTAATGAGAAGCCTACAATATAGGCAACTTGGTCAAAAAAGTTGAAAAACTGTTTTGGGAACTTGAAAAACTTATACTTATTTCTTCCTTCATCTATGAATTATTCACTTGTTATATGAACCTTGCAAATTTCTGTTGCTACACAGTGTTACATTGCCAGGTCAACACCATGAATTGACAGGCATCTCAGGCAGAACATGCTGCATGTCCTAGGCCCTCTGTGGCCCAGCACAAGCAGTGAGAGGACAAGCCAGGTCCGATCCATAATAGGTGTCACGGATAAGACCCGGCCTGTCCTCTCTGGCGCTGGTGTTGGGCCACCGCGGGCCCGTAACACGCAGCACGTGACGACGGGGAACATGCGCCCCAGTAGGAGGAACGCACACGTGGGAAGCATGTGACTGAGAACGACGCGTCGAGCCATTGCCGAGCCCAACTCAACACCAGGGGACTGGGGAGGAGTGCTAGGAGGTTAGGAGTAGCGCCTGGCCCGCAAGGGATGTACGATCGTCCCCTCTGCGGCCAGGAACGGGAGCGAGGAGGAGCAGGGGAGGCCCAGGTGTCTGATCACCCCTTTGCGGGCCCACAGATATAAACACGCAATGGTGTACCATGTACTCTATCGCTTAGATCGTCTTAAGAACTACTTCTCTCCGTGCAAGGAGGAATCACCAACTCATCGGGCCTGACACAACCCGATTCGAACCTTCGACCACTGACAGCGACAAGGGACCGAGTCAACGGGCCCCTTTCGGTTTCGATCTACCCCACTTGCCATACTTGCGGGCCCGACGATTCGTCTGTTCTGTTCCGGGCGCACGTTCTTAGGAGAGGTTCTTGCACGGCCCGACCCGCAGTCTGACAATAGGCAATAGATGAGGTTCCTCTAACATCATTTATAAGGGCAACCCTAGAAGCCTGGGTGGAAGAAATGAAAGTGAGAGGATGTAAAACCCACTGCTGTATTGCAGACCTAACTATAATACTTATACTACTGAAGAATAGTCTCATGAATTCTACAGAATTCTACAGAACTCTACAGAATTCTACCATGTTCTGACTTGGCTCAGTCAGCACCGGGCTGGTTGAACCGCCCGGAGTTCGCTATATAAGCAGAATTATAACAGCCTGAAATAAGGGTTCAAGCAGGGGAGAATCAAAAGAGAAGAAACCCCAATGGCCAGTTAGCCAACTATATACTTTATATGCTAAGAGCAATTGTTGCGCTGAGCAGTATGCCTGTGCCATACCACACACTAGGTCCCAGGGGGATGCTGTGCAGCCTGTGCCTAATAGAGTTGGCAGGGCAGGAGCAGAGCCAGACCACTAGAGGCAGAGCCTAGGTATCTTTTAGAGTTGGGACAAGGGTTGTCTTTACAATGTACATGAGGCCAGAACTGGAGGGTCAAATATCACTGGCCATTCAGTCTAGACAGGATTAACCTCCTAGAGCAGTCTGCCCTATCTCTGAAATAGACAATGTTAAAGTACGCAGAAAGGCTGTAGATGGCCTTTCATGAGATGAGAAAGATGATTTTTGGGGCTGAAAGTGGAGAAAAAAGTAACTGTTTTTTTGGGTTGTGTTGTGATTCCATTATTTTTTTTTTCTTCACTAGAAAAAAAACTTACATGGCAGTCTGTGTTGGGGGTCATACTTGTGTATGACCAGGATGCATGATGAGGAGATGGGTCGGAGCTCGTACAGTGAGCAAAGACATGGCAAGGACGCGCCAAGTGGTGAGTGATGGGCCATCAGTGGTGGTGCCAAACATGACCAACACCATTTGGTGCCAGGCGCTCGCAGTCGTAAATCGAAAAACTCTGGCGTCACATTGTCACATATCATCAAATTACACCAAATCAGGTATATTCAATCAAAATGACACTTGCTCTAGGATATCGCAGATTTACGACGGAGCAGTGACTGGTTGGAGGCTGCCACAACCTTAAGAAAAATACATTATGACGGTCTTAGAGGGCCCGATGACAAAAAAAAAATCCACGAGTGATGTGTAGGACAAGAGCAAAAAGAAGGTTTATTGACGATAAAGAAATGCCGCCGGTGGGGTTCGAACCGGTGTCACTCAAGCCACGTATGTACGTCAGACGGGTCTTCCCTCCTTGACGACGACCACGACAGTCGCACAGCTCTGAGTCAGGATGTCGACCGTCGGACAGATACAGAGTGGGTGAGGCGTGGGACTTGGTGCGGTTGACTGCTGATTCTGAAGCTGAGCTGCAACAGGTTTGGCTTCCATGAGCGGACTGAGAGCCTGGCAAAATAACTCGCTGCCATGGCCAGGTCGACAGCGACGGGCCTCCTTTTGCCGTCAGCAGTCAGCGGTCAGCAGTCAGCACGTCGTGGCGGACAGGGAACAGACCGACAGGGCGATGACAGATGGGCGGGCACAGGCCCAGCTGGCGCTTGCTTCTCGTCCACTCCCTGTCTCACTCTCGTCTTCTTCTCCTCCTCTACCACACACTCCTTCTGGCGCGCATGCCGCCCCCCAACTCGAAGCGCAGCCGCAGACGCAGCTGCAAAGCCTTTGCCCTCTTCCTCGCCGCCCGGGCCCTCCCGTGCGCCCACGCCCAGGCGAACCGCACGCTCGACGACTTCTCCCCGGCGCTGGTCTACACGCCCGCGACGCCGCCGGCGCTCGTCCGCGGGGCCCTCGCCGGCTTCAACGTCAGCGAGCTGTACAACGGCACGGTCGCCGTGCTCAACGCGACCGCCGCGCCGGGGCACAGCGTGAACATGAGCGTCAAGTTCACCGGTGTGTTATCTCGTCCTTTGGATGCGATGAGCTGATGCGGGCCAGGCACGGAGATCTATGTCTTTTTGGCCAAACCGCAGAACGCGAGCGCCGGCGCGTACGGGATCGCGTACAACGTGTACCTCGACGGCGCGCAGGTGGACCAGGTCGGGTCGTTCGACCAGGACACGGACGCGGAGTACGCCCAGGAGGGGTACACGAACAGCAACTTGAACCTCACGCTGAAGGCGCACACGCTGGTCTTCGAGGCGACGGACGGGGCGGTGTACCTCGACTACGTCGTCTTCCGCTCGAACAACCCCACGCCCGAAACCAGTATTGCCCCGATCAAAGCACTGCCCTCGCCGTCGTCTGCCGCCCCGTCCGGCAGCGCCGCGGCGACGGGCACGAAGTCGCGGCCCGGGGAGACCCCGCTGGCGAGCGCGGTCGCAGAGCGGAAGCGCAGCCGCGTCCCGCTGATCGCCGGCGCGGCGGCGGCCGTGCTGTGCCTCCTCGGCGCGGGTGTCGCGGCGTGCATCTGTCTGCGGCGCCGGAACGCGCGCAGGCCGGCGGCGGCGGTGTTGCCCGGCGGGCCCGGGCCGTACCCGGCGATGAGCCAGAGCTTGAGCTATGCCGGCGGGCAGGTATATGCGAGCGACGCCGCGCTCGTGGGCTCGCAGCACTCCGTGTCCGCGCATGGACATGCGCCGTACGGGTATACCGATGCGCCGCCGCCGCTGCCAAGTCAGCAGCATAACCTGTATCAACACCCACCACACTTACAGCCGCAGGCGTACGACTCCCCGATGCCCAACCTGTACCTCTCCCCACCCGCGCAACCACAGCCGATGACATACCCACCCGCGCCCTCACCCGTGTCCCCACCGCTCACCTCGCCCTCCGCGTACTCCCCCGTCTCCCCATCCGACACATACGCATACGCCCCGCCCACGCCGACAGCGTACGACCCGCGCGGGGCCGCAACGCTCGCCTACACGCCCTCGCAGTCGTCCCATTCCTCGCGCTCCGCGTACGACGAGCGCGCGCGCATCCTCGCGGAGCAGCGCCGCATCGAGGCGGAGTACGAGCGGCCCGGGTGGGCGTCACTGTCGGGCGCGGAGGAGAAGCGCCGGCTGCGCGAGCACGAGGAGCGCCTGGGCGTGGCGAACCCCGGACCGCTCTCGCCGGCGTCCCCGGCGTCGTCGTCAGCGGGGATGCAGCGCAGCTGGAGCACTCGCACGGGCACGAGCGGGAGCGGCGCGGGAGCGGAGGACATCTCGCACATCGCGGCGGAGATGCACGCGCTGCGCGCGCAGGTCGCGCGTCTCGAGGGCGAGCGGCTGGAGCGCGAGGGGCGTCCCGCCGCCGGCGTATGATTGAGCGGTGCGATGGATACCTTACATACTTAGTTAATTGCAAATTTTACTGCCTTACGAATGAGCTTCCCATAGCACTAGGTCAGCAAATCGCATTCAAATACGTTACTTACACCATTGTGTCTGTCGACAAGCGCTGCCGTCCCCACCGCCTGACCCAGCCAGTGCCCCCTTCTGCTCCGTCTCCATCTCCCCCCAACGCGATGCTCTGCACACACAACAGTCAGCACGGCAGCACGCACGCACGCAGGCAAGACGGACGCACCTGGAGGCTGTCGAGGGTGGTAGCAAACGCGCCCGCGCCAGCCCATCTCTCTCCCCAGCGGCGACCCCCCGCACTGTGCCAGCCCAGCCCTCCGCCACACGCGAGTAGTACGGCACCGGCCTAGGCCCGGGGCAGTCTCGAGCCGAACCGGGAGGGAAGGGGTGTGTCGGTGCAGAAGTGCAGCAGGACGCGAGGGCCAAAGGAAGCACGACGCACCTGCCGCTGTGACGTACGTTATGCGGCTCGGCAGCAGCACGTGCCACGGGCTGTCGGCGCCGATATCCGCGGGCCAGGCAGGGCGGACGGACGGACAGGCTGCTGGCGGGTCAGCCAATCCGGCGAGCGCGTTGGCAGCACGACGCACCTGCTTTATCATGGCCGCGAGAGCCGCCAACGGGCGGCGCTGCCGAAACACGTTAGCTCGACAACACAGACACTGCAGACAACACACCTGCACAACACAGGGAAATTGGCGCAGCTGCAGAAACAACATGTTAGTCAGCGAACAAGCAGCACGATTGCGCAGCGCACCTCGCCAGCGACGACCGCACACGCGTTGGAGTCGTCGGCAGATGGAAGGAGGGAGGGAGAGGAAGACGAAGGTGGTGGGAGCCGGCAGCGGGTTTAAGTACCCGCCCGCCAAGCGAAGCCCGGTCGCGCTCCCACGCGCCGGGAACGTTGGGCCGGCATGCATGGCAACGGCCACGCGATCACATGGCGCACCTGACACGCGCCACGCGGAGGATGGGTCTCCGCTCGGGAGGGCTGCGCGTGAGCATCCGCGTGGGATGCGCGCGGTGGACGAAACGGCCGAGGGAGCGAGGGTAAAGAGACAAAAAGCATGCGGGGAATTAAAACGAAAGCGGCGGGCCAGAATGGAAGAGGAGCAGAGGCAAGAGGGAGGGAGGGAAGAACAGCTGGAGGAAGGTGACGATGCTAAGGTTGCCGGGAGGGATAACATGTGCCTCACCTAGCCGACGGTGATTTTCCCTATCGAGGCCCGCTAAACTCACCATCCGCGCACAGTTACGCGGCCTCATCACGCCGGTTGCCTTCTACAGCATGTGCCACCCCGGCCCCATTGCTACCCGATGCGGTAACCACTTGGCTTGGCTCAGTAATATGCAACCGCCGTCAGCGATGATTCCGATGAAGCACACATCAGCGCGTCCAGGCCACCGCCTACGCGCATCATCATCAATCACATGCTGCACCTGTCGCACATGTCGCACTCGGCATCTGCACCAATGTCAGCTGTAAAAGGAAGAGGTCTCAAGGGGAGGCCACCGAGAAATAAGGCAAGTAAAGCTAGCAGCACAAGGGACACAGTCCCAGTAAAGTCTGCCCAGAGCTATATGCAACCTCCTAGTAGAGAGAGAGATATTCTTCTGGTGTATCATGTTGCCTATAAGAACACCTATCCATGGACCCGATCACCGGGTCCCGCCATCATTTGCGCAAACACCAAACTTTCACATGCTAAACTGCACTCCGCGGTCATGCGCACTTCCGTTGTTCTTCATCGAGTGAAATCAAGGCAGAGACAGCGAGGTCACGTGACCCGCTATCCGGCCATCCTGGTATCAAAAGCAACTTGAATCAAACAATGATGTGGGGACTCTGGGCCGGGACCATGGTCTGGCCCAAAGCCCGAATACAAATATGTCTTGACTGTTGATTATGTAATCATCCGCATGCGACACATAGACCATCATTGTTGTTTCATCAGGAAGGTACTACTTATCATTAACAAGCCAAACTTGGTATGTATAATGAGCATCAATTACGTAAGAAGACAGCCAACATAACGATTTTATCATATCAAGTACAGAAATATAACTGTACAATCCAGCGATATACAGACTTAGATTGTAGCTCAATAAGGAGTTGCTTAGCAGCAAGCCTGATGATTACATAAGCAGTCTCACATCAGAGTATTGCTAACCTTTGATGTGTTTTACATTTTCACGAATATCCAACAGGCACAACTTCTTATCTTGTACCAGTTGTGTTAATTCAATTCCTAGAATTAATTTTTATACTATTTTTATTGCACTCTATTTCAATGGACATGAGTTTGATGGTTGATTACAACGCACACAGATAGTCACGTCACGTGACCTGCTATCCGGCCTGATAGTGCCTTGATGATTTTCAATCATATCAGTTGTATAACCAGAGTCACTTTTAACTGATTCGTGTGAAAAGCCATTTTTAGCAGACACTTTCTGGAAGATGTGATTACATTTATTAATAAGAACCAGACCCAGACATTTGATTATGTAAGCAGACACTAGATAATACCAGCTATCACATATGTTTAGATTTGACACCTATTGAAGACCTTCATCAATGATTCTCCCAGTAAGCACAAATCTTAGAATTGGCTAGAGTTTGCCTTGAGATGTCACTGGTGATTACATAAGCAAAGTAGTGATTAAATTGGGATTGTTAATTTTATTCATTTTGCTTGTTGATGGGCTTCTTTCTCCAAGCCCATAATCACTGTCAATCAGATCACTATGATAGGCATAAATTGATTCTAAAACATATGCCTATATACCATAACTCAGTAGAATATGATTTTTAGTCTATATTTTCTAGAAGAAACTTCTTATACTACTAGCCTAGTATAGGGCACTGATTCATCTTAATATGCCATACAGGCAAAAATATCATTTTTAGCACAGACTTTCTGGAAGAAACATCAAGGTTATATTTTCAATATACCAATATGTACCGTCATTTTTGCCTTGCTCTGCTGTCATACCAACATTGTCAAAACCTTAGAATTTTCTATAGTTTTATAGCTGTTGCCGATCTTTGTACATAAGCGGGCTGATGATCAGTGTTGTCATGCCTACACTCCTGTGCCCCAAATTCAAATTTCCATTACTCTTATTCAGCTTTAGTAGTTGACATACCAGGATATAGATTTTGCAATGCCCATGTAGCTAAATATCATTTTTAGTATACTCTTTCTGGGAGAAATTTGAAGTCAATAGCTATTTCCACCCCTTTTTTGAGCAAGATTTGGCCTAGAACATGTTGGCATAAGGCAATTGTTTGACAGTATCACCATGGCAACGGAGCTCAATATATACCCTATATTGCAAAAATATCATTTTTAGTGTACTCTATCTGGTAGAAATTTAAAGCCAATAGCTATTTCGACCCATTTTGGTTTGGCCCAGGACATGACAGGATAAATGTTTGACAAGTACTGATCAGAAAATGCTACCTATTTAATATATATTCTTGCCATCATCTGGTTTTCATGTGTCATTGTCATTGACATTAATTCAATATGCAAATATATGGTAATTTGCCAGAATATCATCTTAATGTCTATTTTGTTTCAATAGCCTTTGTACTTAGTATCAGGTACCACAATTACTTGACGACAAGTAAGAATGCCCATACAAGGCCGGAACAATGATCATCATCACACTACCCATGATTCCGGGACGCGCGCACAAGCCTTGCCCATATGGTGATGTGTTGCCATACCTGCATGCAGATCCGTGATCTGGATTGATGATATGATGAATATCAGAGAGCCAGCGAGTGAGAGAGAAAAGGGATGGCCAGCATCCCATATGTGAGCCTAAAAGCCTTGAGGGCTTGAGAGCTAAGGCCAAATATCAGGCTCAGGGCAGGTGGGGCAACGTCCAAGGCCCAGTCATCATGACCATCACTCCGCGGTCACGCACGGCACGGGCAGATTTCGCCGTGGGACGCGTACAAGCCTTGCCCATGTGTGTTGCCCTGCAGATCCGTGAGGTGAACTGTCAGCACGCCGCAGGCGACAGAATCATGTGCATCACTACGCGGTCACGCAGAGCACGGGCAGATTTCCCCGAATTCCACGCGTCCGGGAGAAGTCTGTATCATGTGCCATCTACACGGTCATGCTGGGCACATGTACACCACGGACAGATTTCCCCGCATCCCACGCGTCCGGGTCAATATTTTTTTCTTCCCGCTTCGCGGTTGCTAGTGAAAAACTTTTTTTGATTAAGACACAGCCACAAAAAATGAGTATTTAACTATGACCTGGACGCGAGACTTGGCGAGCGGAGCGCGACTTAGCGTTGGGACGGGCGACGTGTGGGGGTATAGCAATATATTCATGTGATATTACATCAGCGGGCGAGCGGGGAAAAGAGAGAGACCCCGGCGCTGGTCTACACGCCCGACCTCTGCACGTCGTGGCGGACAGGGAACAGACGGACAGGGCGATGACAGATGGGCGGGCACAGGCCCACTGGCAGCTGGCTCTTGCTTCTCGTCCAATCCCTGTCTCACTCTCGTCTTCTTCTCCTCCTCTACCACGCACTCCTTCTGGCGCGCATGCCGCCCCCCAACTCGAAGCGCAGCCGCAGACGCAGCTGCAAAGCCTTTGCCCTCTTCCTCGCCGCCCGGGCCCTCCCGTGCGCCCACGCCCAGGCGAACCGCACGCTCGACGACTTCTCCCCGGCGCTGGTCTACACGCCCGCGACGCCGCCGGCGCTCGTCCGCGGGGCCCTCGCCGGCTTCAACGTCAGCGAGCTGTACAACGGCACGGTCGCCGTGCTCAACGCGACCGCCGCGCCGGGGCACAGCGTGAACATGAGCGTCATATTCACCGGTGTGTTGTTCCATCTTGCCGCCGCTGATCTACGAAGGTAATTTTCTGGCAGGCACGGAGATCTATGTCTTTTTGGCCAAACCGCAGAACGCGAGCGACGGCGCG